TAATAAAACAAAAAATTAAGTCCTGATTTGTATCAGTTGCTGATTTCTGTGCTGGAAATACTCCCATAGTGGCCATTGTCAAGCTACCAATGTGACACACTGAATAGAGCTGGGAAGAGATGCACTGACCTATATGCACATTGTTCCGTACTATTTTCACCACACAGACACAGTAGACACTAATAATCTCAAGATACACAGATAACAGCAGAGTGTAGTGAAATAATCAGAAAATGATGTTTTTAGTGTGTATTACTTTTTTCATAATTTATTGAATTGTAAGTTTGTGTAATTTAATTTTTATTAGTGGCTGAGTTTCATAACCACCCACAAAATTCCTAAAAACTTAACATTTGGCTCTCATGAGTTGGTATGAGCTGGCACCAGCTCACTGCCATGTAACTCATTAGACCGTGCCCCATCAGGAAACAGAAACCATACGTAGGTGAAAATCTGAAGAAAATTCAATGAAGAGACTATTTATAAAGGTCTGGGCAAGGTTAGGGAGACACTGCTGACAACTCGGTGAATAAACCGAAGTTGTTGAATCATACACTTGAATTGGGTAAACTATATGTGAATTATTCACAATAAAGCCGTTTTTTAAAAAGAGAGACACGGAGGCTCCCAGGGACCAGCAGTGGCAGGAAGCCATTACCTTCCTGTGTCTTATGGGACAACGGGAGGGAACAGTGTTTCCAGGGCCCTGTTAGAAATGAAGACCCAGAGGAGAGGATCCCAGCAGGAGCTGTAGATCCAGAGAAACTCAGCCAAACCCTTCAGCTTAAAGCAGAGGAAATTGCTGGTGGGGAGTGAATAGATCAACCTTTCTCCCCCCCTGTCCTCCAGTCTCCTATTGATGCCTCTCATTGGACAAATTCAACACTCAGCCAGAGGTAGAGGAACCTGGGTGACGTCTGCATAGGGGTCATCTCCCTAGGGCACAGAGCTGATCATAAGGGGTGGACAATGGGTCTGAGGGCAGAGAATAGCCAGCGCTCATGCATGCACACACGCTCACACATGCACACATGCACACACATGCACACATGCACACACGTAAGTACCTGCTAATAAAGTATACAGTAAATGTGTTAACACTTGTCAGTGTTAGGAGAAAAACAGAAGAACATGGACTTTTCACTCTATAGCATTTTATAGCTTTTGAATTTTGAACCATGGGACTATATTACCTATTTCAAAAAATAAATAACATTTCCATTAGAAAATAAAAATAAACCAAAAAACAAGTAAGTTTATAGTGGTCATTAAGGCTGTTCACAAAGAGAATGATTCTTCTCTCCTTCTGAGCAGACAGTAGGGTGTAGTTCCCTATCCCTGCTGAAGTTAGGTGTGGCCACATGTTGCAGTGGTTCTCAACCTTCCTAATGCTGCGACCCTTTAATACAGTTCCTCATGTTGTGGTGACCCCCCAACTATAAAATTATTTTCATTGCTACTTCATAACTGTAATTTTGCTACTGTTATGTCTTAGGCGACCCCTGTGAATGGGTTGTTTGACCCCCTAAGAGGTGGCAACCCACAGGTTGAGAACCACTGGTAGAGAGTGAAATATGAGCAGAACTGATATGTGTCACATTCAAGCAGAAGCTTTAAAAGCCAGTGTATGTATCGCCACTTTCTCTTTTCCTGCCTCATGGACCATAGAAGCATCATGGAACTCCTGTTAGCCAGAGTCCTTGACTGATGAGGAGCAGACACCCTCCCTCTCACCACAACTACACTACCATGGGACATGTAGCATGAGGGAGAAACAACCTGTGTTGTTTTAAATTACCGAGATTATGGGATCATTTGTTACCACAGCATAACCTAGCTTATTCCCACTGATAGAAGAGGAAACCAAATGGCTCCTGGCATTATTTCCAAATCAAAATTTGTAATTTTTAAGAAACCTTACATTTAACCTGTTAAATTAAAAGTAATGCATCTGCCCTGGCCAGTTTGGCACAGCGGTTAGAGTATCAGCCCTTGGACCTTTCTGAAGAGTCAAGGGTTCGATTCCCAGTCAAGGGCATGTACCTGGGTTGCAGGTTCAATCCCCAGCCCTGGTTAGTGTCATGCGGAAGGCAACCAATCAATGTGTCTCTCTCACATTTCTCTCTCCCTTCCTCCCTTCCACTCCATCTAAAAAAATCAATGGAAAAATGCAATCATGTGAACAAGTTAATCCTCAGATAAGGATTAACAACAACAAAAAATACACCTAGTTGCACCCATGGAAATAACATTGATTTTAATGACAGTATAGATATTGATTTATAAATATTAAACTTAAATTTGGCAATTTATATCAAAACCTCAAAAACAAATACCTTTTGACCAAATAATTCTACTCCTAATAAGATAATCAACAGTAATAGCTAAACTTTATTGAACAGTTATTACACCAGGCACTATTCTAAGTGCTTTGCACAAATTAATTTAGAAGTCTTATAGCAGTACTATGATGTATTACCTATTACTATTATACTTTTACATAAAGAGACTGAGGCTTAGAAAAGTTGAGCAACATGTTAAAATTATATAACTAAGAGGTAGGGAAGCCAGTATTTAAATCCATCACCTTGACTCCAAAGACTGTGCTTTCAACCACTATGATATACTACTGCCATTTCTTTTTTCTTTTTTTTCTTTTACATTGTCCTCTTTATTTCTTCTTAGACTTATACAATTTTTAATTTCCAAACTATGGTCTTTCTCTAGTAATCTTTTTTCCAACTTCATTGAGGAATAATGGACAGATAATGCATAATTTAAAGTGCAGAATGTGATGATTTGATATATATACATTGTGGAATGATTACTAAGATCAAGATAATTAACACATTAGTCACCTTACAGCGTTAACTCATTTTTTTTTTTTTTTTAAATGGTGAGAATGCTTAGGATCTATTCTCCACAACTTTCAAGTACACAATACCACCTTGTTAACTATAGACACCACGCTGTACAGAACAGCCTCGGAACGTATCCATTGTACAATGGAAGGTTTGTATCCTTCCACCTATCGCTCCCTATTTCCCCTCCCCCTGGCAACCACCATTTTATTGTTTTCATAAACTTGTCTTTATTTTTCTAGATTCCACATAGAAGTGATACCATCCCTACTACTACTTCCTAAATAACTCTAAGGATGTAAATCACAGCCCTGCTTTAGAATAAAAGCTGGGAAACAAATGTAACGTCCAAATGTGAAGGTTGGATCAATGCTGGTAGTGACTCTACGGCTTAGTGACCGAACACCACGCACACGCAGCCGCTTCTCAAAAAACCACAAAGGCACACGAAAGGTAATTAATGTAATTAGAGTAAGTAAATTTTTCAAAGCTGTCTCATTTTATAAAAAGTACGTGCATACACAATAGTCTAGAACAGTGATTTCCAGCCTTTTTCATTCCATGGCTCACATAAACTACTAAAATTCTGCAGCGCAGCAAAAATACATTTTTTTGTTGATCTGACCAAAAATTAGGTACAACTCTGATTCATTCACCTCAGACGGCTATTGTTGTGTTGGCTGTTGTCATTTTTTAATCTGACAGTCTAAGGGAAAAGAGGCCAGTGCCCCTGACTGAACAGTCAGGCATGGCCTGTTCTCAAAATTCTTGCAGCACAGCGGCTGACAACGCTGGTCCAGAAAGCTTATGTCTGAGTAGGAGATCTTGCATGACTTTTTCCTCTAATAGCCCACATGCATGTTTTGACTTTCTATAACAACATGCACACATTCGATATTTAATAGTGACACCCCGATTTCACACAGCAGGTCCTGAAACAAGAGCGAGCGCGTGGGTACTTGGTTTCGGTGGGCAACCCCAGGGAGCAGGAGTGGGGAGGAGGAGGAGTGAACGGGGATGGAAGGAAAGCCAAATCGAAGGGGTGGGCGTGCTACAGAGCTGATCACCACTGAGGGAAACTGAGGCGTTCTCTCCGGAAATCTCTCTAAAGAGTGGGGTCCGATGGATCTCACAACTGTCTGCCTGAGGGACGTCAGACTGGAGGGTTTATCCACAGCTCCCTTTCCCGCTGGCGGGGCTCTTCAGTCCCTCCTAGTGCCAGCTTCGCACATTTGTCAGAGCGCTAAGAAGGGCGCTGCAGGGGTCCCCCGGGCTGCACAGAGAAGCCTCAGGGCAGAGAGCCAGCAACACAGAACAGCTGAGGGGCTGGAATGTCCAGGAAGTGAAAGGCCCCTTGAGAGGATGAGCGCAGGAACTCAGGCGCTGTGCCTTATGCATACAGCTTGTATAACATTTAGAGATCGAGAGACCTTGTTCTTCAAGTTGTGACTTCCTTGTTCATTAGAATGTGGTGAGACCCAAGTTTGTTTGTTTGTTTGTTTAATTTTTATTGATTTTTTTAGAGAGAGGAAGGGAGTGAGATAGAAACATGGATGTGAGAGAGAAACATCAATTGACTGTCTCCTGCATGCCGGCTGCTGGGGATCAAGCTCACAACCAGGGCATGTGCCCTGACTGGGAATGGAACGGGGACCTCTCAGTCCATGGGAGGACGGCTCTATCCACTGAGCCACACCAGCTGAGCGAGACCTGAGTTTTTACTTTATTTTTCTTTTGGAGTAAGAGCTGTTGTAGTAGAAAAGGCCACATGCAATCCCCTGAAATGACCCACCTCCTGATTCAGCCAAGATGGTAAATAAAAAACCATATCACATCTCAAAGGGGCGTGGCGGAGATTAGAGCCACTCTGAAGATTCAAAGGGTGCAGGGGCAGTGGTTCCCATTTAATTTTCTTTCTGACAAAAACCAGATGGTGAATGGCTGTGAATTTAACATAGGAGTATTGCAGCTGCTGGGCTGGCTGTGGTATCTTTACTAGAGCAGATTAGCAGAGCCTCAAGTCTGCAGTATGTGGCTCCTGATCTGGTGAGTATATTCTTTTCGATATCAATCAAAAAGTCAAGTCAAAAGCTGTTTTCATTCACATGGAATGGCAACAGTATATATCACAGAATTGCCCCCAGGACTATGTTAATTATCCCGTTTTCTGTCATAAGGACCTGTACTATCTGGATATTTCACAAAAATTACCTTGGTCCACTATTTTGAAGATACATGTTCATGAGCAAGATGTGTCATGTGATCCGGATGCCATGATAAGACGTGTGTAATCCAGAAGATGAGATATTGCCCCTACAAAGACCCAGAGGCCTGCCAGATTAGTGCATTCAAGGACATCCTTCAAAGTCAAGGGTAGGTCACTGCATCTTTTACTTTCTTCCTATAGAAAAAGCACACCACTTGTTAGGCTTCTCTAAATTTTGCTTGCAGAATATTCCACACTGGGGCGTGGTGCTTCAATCTATTTATAAGGTGAGTTGGAAGGCTGCTACCTTTGGAGAGGAGCCCAGAGCAAGAGGGCTCTGCAGCAGGTCCATTTTCAGTAAAAGCAGCCTTGCTTGCTCAGGTCATACAACCCAGCAGATCCCATGGTAGCAAGGGTACCTGTGGAAGAAAAGATGCCGTGTGAGTTCTTTGGCAAGTTCCAATGGGATGACTGCAATACAGACCTCTAGGGCTCTCAAAGCAAGACTGTGCCATCTGCTGCAGAAAACTATACTTTGTTGCAAATGCAGCTCCTGGCAGGCCCTGATAGCGTCTAAGTACCTGACCATGGACATCAAGGGATCCTGTGGCCAAAACCACTCATGAGCTAGATGCTCTCAAGTCCCCAAGTTATAAGACTGGGTGGCCCAGCAGCAATCTACTATAAGAGAGAATCACTACACTGGAGAGTGTGCTTGAGCGGGTGCAGAAGGCAAAAACAAGCTGCAAGAAAGATGACTCAAGATCCCAGGATCCCCCTGCTGTTAACACTGGCTGACATCTCTTTCTCAGTTCATACCTATGACCTCATGGTGGTTTCCCGATGATCAGCTAACAGGAAGAAAAACCCAAGCTTGGTTCACAGACGGATCAGATTGGCAAAGTTGGTCACACAAGGAAGGGCATGTCTCTGGCAGAATCTGTTTCCCCCAAGAGCCTCAAGGGCTGGGATCTGTCTTACTCACCTCTGGATGTTGCTGGTACCTGGTACCACTTAATAAAGATTTGCGGAATAATTGATTGAATGAATAAATGGAAGGACACTTTTACTTTTATCTTTTTACAAAGTAACAACAATCAAAGCATCTTTGAAAATATTTGTTTAGAACCCTTCTTGAGTATCTTCCCATATGTGGGTTTCGGCTTCCAGTTCTCACAGTGAGTTTCCTGTCAGTGCTGAGACCAGCTGTAGAATAAATCTAGGTCAATGTTCAGAATATGCTGCCTCAACTGTCTTAAATAGAAAGAGAGAATCTTCACATAGTAAAATGAAGCAGTGACAACTCCACAGGTTCTCCAAGCTCATTTCATTATCATGTTTACCATGTAATCACACTCTGCCTTTGGGCCAAGGGAAGTGAAACTAAGCCACCAATTTATGTTTCATTGACCAAGCTTAAGATTATTTGGAAGTTTTTAAGTGACCCTTGTTGTCACTTGGTTCTTTACATTAAGCTTGCTGAACTGTATGGTCGGTGAGGGCAGCTACTAGAAAAGGGAGGAATTACCTGTAGGCATGAGTTTCTGTGACCCTTTCCAGACCCTGTCCAGACCCCTCCCCCTTCTCTGTGCACTGGAGAATCCCCCTCACTGAGGCTCTCTCGGCAGTAGAGGGAAGTCCTGGAACAGTAGTCCTCTTGGGTGATGAGAAGGGAATGCGATGGGGTATTATGGCGACCAGGTCTTCCTCTAAACAAAACTTTCAATGACATCTAGCAAAATAGATGTTTTCAGTTCAGCAAATTTAATGTTCCTGTAGTTGCCTCTGATTTAATATAACTGGTCTGAACTGGCTCAAAAATACATGATGTGTGATGTGATGCGGTGTGGTGCGGTGCGGTGTGATGTGATGTGGTGTGGTGTGATGTGATGTGATGTGGTGTGATGAGGTGTGGTGTGGTGTGGTATGATGTGGTGTGGTGTGGTGTGGTGTGGTGTGGAGTGGTGTGGTGTGGTATGGTATGGTGTGGTGTGGTGTGGTGTGGTGTGGTGTGGTGTGGAGTGGTGTGGTGTGGTATGGTGTGGTGTGGTGTGGTGTGGTGTGGTGTGGTGTGATGAGGTGTGGTGTGGTGTGGTATGATGTGATGTGGTGTGGTGTGGTATGGTGTGGTGTGGTGTGATGAGGTGTGGTGTGGTGTGGTGTGATGTGGTGTGATGAGGTGTGGTGTGGTGTGGTATGATGTGGTGTGGTGTGGTGTGGTGTGGTGTGGTGTGGTGTGGTGTGGTGTGATGAGGTGTGGTGTGGTGTGGTGTGGTGTGGTATGGTGTGGAGTGGTGTGGTGTGGTATGGTGTGGTGTGGTGTGGTGTGGTGTGGTGTGGTGTGGTGTGGTGTGGAGTGGTGTGGTGTGGTATGGTGTGGTGTGGAGTGGTGTGGTGTGATGTGGTGTGGTGTGGTGTGGTGTGGTGTGGTGTGGTGTGATGAGGTGTGGTGTGGTGTGGTATGATGTGATGTGGTGTGGTGTGGTGTGGTGTGGTGTGGTGTGGTGTGGTGTGGTGTGGTATGATGTGGTGCGGTGTGGTGCGGTGCGGTGCGGTGCGGTGCGGTGTGGTGTGGTGTGGTGCGGTGTGGTGTGGTGTGATATGATAATAGGATGTGCCTTACTCCTCCTGTTGGTCATTTATTCTGTTTTTGCTCCCTTGCCTATTCCATGGCCTGGTTAAATTCCTCTTTCCCTTGATTCACCAAGGACTGGGTTTATTAACTTAACAAAATCAAATTTTAAATGTTGTGCTGATAGTTTTAAACAGCACTGAGAACTCTGGGCCCTATAAATATAACAGAAAAAAAAAGGTATGGCAAACTTCGCCATAGAAGGGCATCCTCAGGGAGGACCAGAGGGGGCCTTTGTTCTTCCTCAGAACAATTCCTCTTTCTTGCTAACTCTGCCTTCCATGGATCCCAGAGACTTCCAAAGAATTCTGTTCTTGGAGCCCTTTGGTTGCTCCCAAACTTGTTTTATTGTCATGGGGAGCCAGGTCTTTGGCTGATTTTAGCTGCCTGTTTTAAGGTTGCTTTTAGAATAGATTGCTTTTTTCCCCCAATTACAGTTTACATTCAATATAATTTTGTATGAGTTTCAGGTGTACAGCGTAGTGGTTACACAGTCATATGCTTTACAAATTATCCCTCCTGATATTACCAGAAACCACCTGGCACCATACCGTGTTATTACAATATTATTGCCTATATTCCCTATGCTGCACTTTACATCCCCACGACTATTTTCTAACTTCCAATTTGTACTTCTCAATCCCTTCACTTTTTTCACCCCATCCCACAACCCCCTCCCTCCTGGCAACCACCAGTCTGTTCTCTGTATCTACGAGTTTGTTTCCATTTTATTTGTAGGATAGATTGCTCTTAAATTAATCTTCATATTCACTAACTCTGATGGAAAATAACTGATATTATGTTGTAATTTCTCTCTATGAGAACAGGATTTCTTAGAATTAATTATTGTAAAGCCCAGATAGCAAACTTTTCTGGGCACATCTCTGTAAATGTAGTTTAAAAATATATATATTTTTTTATTAAGTAAATTATATTAACTGGATTTACTTCACAGCAAAATGGTGAAAGAAAGCAGGAAAAAATCACATTCTGTATGATATTTATGTTTGGAAGCCTCATTATAAAATCACAAAAGATTTGAAGAGATGGTGATACAGTTTCTTCAGAGAAGGCTTTCCATTTTCGGTCATAACAAAATAGCCCCGTCCAGTTTGGCTCAGTGGTTAGAGCATCGAACTGCAGACCAAAGAGTCACGGGTTCAGTTCTGGTCAAGGGCACTGGCCCTGGTCAGGGTCGTGCAGGAGGCAACCAGTCAATGTGTCCCTCTCACATCAATGTTTTCTCTCCTCTCTCTCTTTCTCTCTCTCTCTCTCTCCTCCCTCCCACTCTGTCTGAAGATAAATGGGGGGGGGGGTATTCTCAGGTGAGGATTAAAAAATAATAATAACAATAATTGATGCCTGGCATTGTTCCCGATCTAAGAACTTTTAGGTTTCCTTCATTTCAAAAATATTGAGTAAGACTTACCCCATTCCTAGACCCTCCCCAGTGCCCACCAAATTCTCTTCCTAGGATACCACCATGCTGTTCAGTTAACGCCTCAAACCCCACTTCTCAGATGACCCAGAAAATAACAAAAATTTACTGACTTCCCTCAAACCTGACCTCTCAAATTTAAATGTTCATGAGTTCCTTAATGTCAGATTTGAGAGAAGTCATAAGTTTTTGTTCTCCCACAAAACTGAGAAACTAATTTGTCATTCAATCAACTATTAACCCATTAATTCACACACTTTTTAAAAATTGATCTTAGAGAGATGAAGAGAGAAAAGGAAAGAGAGAGATTGACATGAGAGAGAAACATAGATCAGACCCTACACTCCTCGACTGGGTACCAAACCCACCACCTGGGTATGTACCCTGACTGGGAATCCAACCTGCCACTCTTTGGTGTGCGGCACCAGCCAGGGCTCACACACTTTTTTAACCACTAGAAATATTTATTTCAATCTTCCTAACTCTGTGTGCCCTTTCTCTCTAGCTATCTTCTTTTATCCCTAAGAGGAATCCCCCACTGGATTGCTGCAACTTTCCACCTTGCTTCCCTTGAAGAGGTCCTCAGATTTAGGAGGAGGAAAAAAGTTCTAAAAAGAAGATGACCAGTTTCCACAGTGAAAAAAAAATGTCCTCACCCACAGTGGAAATCTTACAGTATGTCCCCACCCTCCAAAGCTGTAAGAGGGTGGGGAAAAGGAATATTCTCTTCTCATTTAGAAGTATTGAATAAAAGTTATAAAGAATGTCAAAAATCTTACTTAAAAAATCTACCAACCAAGAATTGGTAGGGAAAGCCCAGAAAACTACAAAGAGGTTAAAAAAAAATTAAGGTAAAGCCTCTTTATCCTTAATCTAATTTCTCTATTTACTGAAAGGTTCAACGAGGCTTTCTTGTTGCAAATCTTACAGTACGCAGTTCCTTAACAAGTGATACTAGGTTAGGAACTCAAGAAAACAGACTTTTCATGACATATAAAAAGACAATGAGCCCTGGCCAGTGTGGTTCAGCAGTTGGAGCATTGGCCTGTGGATCAAAGGTTCGAGGGTTCAATTCCCAGTAAAGGGAAGGTACCTAGGTTGCAGGTTCATCCCCAATGTGCAGAAGGCAACCAATTGATGTGTCTCTTTCACATTGATGTTTTTCTCTCTTTCTTTTCCCCCTCCCTCCCTCTCTCTATAAAAGCAATAGAAAAAATATCCTCGGGTGAGGATTAACAAAAAAACAAGCAGCACTGGCCAGTTTGTCTCAGCGGTTAGAGTACTGGCCCACGGACCAATGAGTCACCAGTTCGATTCCCAGTCAAGGGCGTGTACCTCGGTTGTGGTTGGTCCCCAGCCCTGGTCGGGTCGTGCAGGAGGCAACCAATCGATGTGGCTCTATCATGTCAATGTTTCTCTCTCTCTCTCTCTCTCTCTCTCTCTCTCTCTCTCTCTCTCTCTCCCTCTCTCTCTTTCTCTCTCCCTCCAAAGGGGGTGTATTAATCAGAAGTAGGTTATTCTACAATAACAACTCTCCAATTAGCAATGGCTAATCGCTAATCTTTATCTACCTTGGAGGTTTTCTGACAGCCACGGATCAGCTGCAGTTCTGTTCCATGGCTCTGATTCAGATTTCTTCTTTATTTGGAGACCTAGGCCAAAGGAGTTGCCCCTATCCTTGTCTCCTGGCAAGCAGAAGAGGGTAAAAAGTGCACCGTGTGATGGCACCTGCTTGGTTTTTACTAGAAGGAAAGGCAACCTCCCCTTGCCCTCTATTGGTCAAAGCAAGTCATATGGTCAAACCCACTATCAGTCAGGCAGTCAGGATAAAGGGTTAACAAAATATCTTCCCTGCTGCGTAGGCATGACCTTCAATGAACTCACTCTGTTCCCCTGGAGTACTATGTTAACAATATTCTTCAGGAACATTGCTTACAATAAAAACAACCTCTGATTGGAAATTGCATCTAGACTGGGAGGAACCATAAATGCACTGTAGAAACCTGATGGAGGGGATGTAGCTTTTAGTGTCCCTGAGCGTAGTGACTGTTTTAACTGGGCATTGTCCATGTGGGGATGGCAGAAGCTATGCCTCTGAAGTTGTTACAAAAGATATTGGCTCCCCCGGCCAGTGTGGCTCAGTGGTTGAGCATCAACCTTTGCACCAGGAGGTCACCGGTTTGATTCCCGGTCAGCGCACATGCCCAGGTTGTGGGCCAAATCCCCAGTGGGGGCATGCAGGAGGCAGCCAATCGATGTTCTCTCTCATCGATGTTTCTATCTCTCTCTCTCTTTCCCTTACTCTCTAAAATCAATAAAGAAAAAACATTTAAAAAGATATTGGCTCCTGTGGGGAATGAGACTATAAATCAGAATGGTTCCTACACCTGCCCCAGATGGGTCTCATCTTGCATTTGAGCTGTCCCTGAGCAGCTGTGTGACTTGATATCCCACAAGAGAGGGACACAATGCTTCCTGCTGGCAAACTGTGGTTCCCGTCCGATGTCCTTCTGAGTGAATCTGACACCAGAGAAGTCGATGGTAGTTTTCTGCATCTGAATGTTAAATTGAACCTACGACGACCCATGGTGGGCATTGTAGGCAGAGATGTATATTCCCCCACAGGGAAGCGCTACAAGGACGTAGCGCTTACTGGGAGTGGAGCTAATGATTAGGAGCAACAATAAAATCGACATGGGATGATTCTCCTACATGACCTTTCAGCAGATAATACATTGATAGAGAACTAATGCTCAGTAGAGGAAAAAATGGAAAGAGAAATAGGCTTGTGGCTCAGAGAGACCCAGAAGCCTGGATCTGCTGCTTACCACTTGTGACTTGGCAGAGTGATCGTCAGAATCCTCATCTATGAATTTATTATTTTTCTTCAAGCCTTTTTACTACAAAAAACAAACAAATAAACAAACAAACAAAAACAATACCCAACTAGAACTCAATGAAGCAAAAGAAAAAAAGTGGGTTTATTTGTTCATGTAATTAAAAAGGGCAAGGATGGAGCTAATAGATTTGAGTCTCCAGGACTCTGTTCCTATCTCCAAAGTTTTCTGCTTCTTGGCTCCATTCTCTGCTACTCCAGGGTTTATTTTTCACATGACAGCGTCACTGGCAGCTCTGGCTCACATTCTTACGATGAACACATATGTCTTTTTTTTTTTTTTTTTTATCTTACCTGTCTTAATTGGCTGATTGTTCTGCCATTTGTAGTTTGAAGACAATCCTTCTCGCTAAAAAAGCTGGGGGGAAGTAGGGATTGTAAACTGATAATAATAAAGTTCTACATGCGGTGGGAACCATGGTGATCATCTAGCCCAGGAATTTTGCCTTTATCTAACATTACGTTACCCTTCCCAGGAAGCTGGCCGATCCCTCACTTGTTCTTGTTCAGATCAAGATTTAAAAGTCTTTCCATTTTTATTAAGAATATTCACAAACTTACCCTTATTCTGGACTTTTTTTTTTTTTGGTGGTACGTGCCCCTAGCGGGAACCGAACCGGGTCTCTCTGGTCCGCAGGCAGACGCTCAACCACTGAGCCAAACTGGCCAGGGCCTTATTCTGGACTTTAACCTTGTTTTAGATTGTGTTCCCAGGAAACAGTGTCTGAGACGAGTTTCGTACGGTAAGTTGTTGGAGCATGATCACAGGAGACACACATGTAAGGAACTGAGGAAGGCAGGACTGGGAGAGGGAGAAGTGGTTGTAATTGGGGCCTCAGCTGATTCTACAGGTTGCTCTGGAGCTGGAGTGGTTCTTCACAGTTATCCCAGATTGGGGCAAAGGGCCAGGCTTTTTCATTTCTACATCAGCCACACTTGGAAGGGCTGTGACCTTGGATCAGGGCAGTCGCCTGCAGCCAAAGGCAATTTCAAATGAAGGATACACCTGTGAGCCATCAGCAGCCAATATGCCCAGTACTTGGGAATAAGTACACTGGCCATGAAAATGAGATCATGGTGGTTCTTCCTACAGACACATTTATATGGGGATATAGTGCCTTCTTTTTATTCTTTTCATTTGCCATATCAGGGCCAATCAGAGAGTACCTTATTGCAGCCATCCCTTCATCTGCCTCTTTATATAGCTCTTCAACTTCTTTTTCTTTGGAATTATTCACATTTATACAGTCAGATATTATTTAAGAATTTTCTTTTTTCTTTTCTTTTTTTTTAATTACATAAGGAGCTTCTCTGAATCTTTGTAAACCCACTTTTCTAGACCCATCTATTCTGACAGAATGCAATTATTTCATAGTTACTTTCTCCCATATAACCAATCTTTTCTTTCTGGTTGGTTAGGGTTAATAATCAGAGTGTTAGTTCCACCTTTGACTTTCTCTACTTTCAAATGATATTTTAGTTAGAGTTCTTATTGCAAACAGAAAACAAATCTAGTTCAGTTAAGGAGAAAAATAATCTTTAGAAGAATTAAAGATCACACAATAGGCAAGAAGGTGGACAAAACAGACTTGGATAGGAATCTAGATGGTCAAAGCACCAGCCAAAAGAGCCATCTAGGATGCTCTAGTGGCCCTGACCCTGCTGAAGTCACAGCTGTGCTGCTGGCATCTGCTTCCCCTGGACACTTATTCTCACGCCTCTGAACTTCTGGTGTATCTGTAGACAAAGTGACTAGACTGGTGTTACCAGAATTAACTATTAATTAATAGAAAGACTATTATTCCCTTTCAGCTTCCATGTGGTGAATGACTGCCCTGTATTCCTCATTTCTCTCCTTGTGAGTCTCCCGAGAAAGGAAGATGATCAGGTACTGGGCCACCAAAACAATAAATGACCATTAGAAAATTATCCAAGAAATGCAAGGATTTGTCAGTACTATTCCTTTAGCATAATTAGTTTTTAGAATATTGGTATATTTGGATTCTTACATTACCACTTGTCCCTCTGCAGTTTTGATCATTTACATCAGGAAAGAATATTTTATATAATCTAGCTTCTCATGTCCTCATTATAATCCAATAACAATAGCATCCTTGTTTGTTCCTGTTTTTCCTAGTCTGAGGTCCTATGAGATGTTAGAAAACATGCTCTGTCAGGGGAAAATAGGTATTTCATCATATAAAATTGAGAAGTACTGCAAACTATATAGCTTCCTTTTGAAAATTTTCAAAGCACAGTAGCATAGTAAAGGTTTGGGGAAATACTAAATTAAAGAAAGGGATTTCATTTTAACTCAGTTTTGACCATTTTTATCAGAGTATTGTTCTCGTTATTGACCTGTTGGCCCTCAACTCCACACTCTCCTCCTTGCTGTATCTCAGGGACTAGAAGCCTGAAAGCTACATTTCCCAGACTCTCTCACCAGCCAGTTTCTGATACGGTTCTGACCTGGGAGGCCCTGGTAATAGGTTATAAAGCAGAAGAGCCCTTATTTTCCTTCTTCTGCTCTGGCTTGGGCAGCAGCAGTGGCAAGTCATTGCTGTAATAGTGGCACAGTTGTAGCAACAGCAGCACAGGACAATTACCAGCCCCAACAACAGCAAGTCCCAGTAAAAATGAGACTATGGCTTCCAGAATCTGGAACCATCACTGGGATGCCTAGCTTCCTGCAAAGTAGCAGCTGCGGTGGTCCCAACAGCAGCAGTGACAACAGAGGTGCTGGAACTCTAAAAACTTTAGCAGCACAGCATTCATGGGATCTGGGCAACACCCTTCCCGTTTGCTCCTCCAGTCTTAGGAGGTGGCAGCTTCCTATAAAGACATATCTGAGTAGCATCCTTCTACAATTTTGCCCCTTCAGGCCTTTAAGGCTTTTGCAAACATATTAAAGGCTAGAGATTAACCTGGCCAGTGTGGCTCACTGGTTGAGCATTGACCCATGCACCAAGAGGTCTCCAGTCTGATTCCAGGTCAGGGCACATGCCCAGGTTGTGGGCCTGATCCCCAGTGGGGGCATGCAGGAGGCAGCTAATTGATGTTCCCTCTCATTGATGTTTCTATCTCTCTCTCTAAAATCAATAAAGGAAAAATATTTAAAATAATAAAAATAAAGGCTAAAGATTAGAAATACCTAGAGTTGTTTCTATTGTTCTGACAAGCCACTAAAGGGATACAAACATGGCATTACCCTCCTCCCACAGAAAACATACAATTTTTATAACTATAGTATTCTGCATAACGTCTAGAATGCAAACATCCCAAACCCTATCTACCTTTCTTCTATTTTCTAGTTGTTTTTTCTGTAAATGAATACTTTGACTATTTACAGTACTATTATTTCTTACATTTTATTATACATTTTTGACCAAAGTATTACTGATATTCCATATTCCATTCACATGATTCATCTCAGAATTCTTATCAATACTTATAAAAATTAAATATGAAGCTAATTTTGTTTACCATCATTCTGTGTACTGATATAGAAATATAATTCTCAACCAACTTATTTTTTAGTTAACTTACATACAGCCAAGTGCACAAATCTTAAGTATACAGCTTAATGAACTTTTCACACACATGTAATATATTTTACATATACATACATTGTACCAATTGGTTAAGCATCAGCTATGGATATAGAATATTTCCAGCATCCCAGAACGTTTCCTCATGCCACTCTGCCAATACTCCATTAAAGGTAAAGTATTTTTCTAAGTTTTCTTGAAAAACTTTATTTGATCAAATACATATTCAGGTCTTTGATCATCTCAAATTAATTAATTAGATAAGGATAAGGGTTAATTTTTTTCATATGGGTACTGAATGGACTTGACACCATTTATTGAAACAACCATCCTTTTTCCACTGAATTGCAGTAAATCATGTGACTATAGATATTGTACATAGATCTGTTCTAAGCTCAGCATTCTATTTATCTATTCTTGCACTAGTATTATTTACACTGTCTTAGTTATTGTAGCTTTCAGGTTAGTCCTGACATATGATCATTTAAATTAGTGTCCAATGTTTTCTTCTCCAAGATTCCCTTCTTTATTCTTGGCCTTTTGCATTTCCATATATATTTTTTCAAAGAGAGTCTTTAGCCCAATTTAATGTAATTATTGAAATGCTTGGGTTTAAGTGTACCATCTTTCTAATTGTTTTTTGTTTACCCATCTACTTTCATTCTTTTATTTCTTCTTTTTTGCCTTGTTTTGTATTATTCCATTTTTCTCATCTATTCACTTTTTGAACAGCTTCATTGAGGTATAATTCACTAATATGCAATTCACCTATATATAGTATACAATTCAATGGTTATTAGTATATGCAAAGAGATGTGCATCTATCACCACTATCAGTTTTGCAACAGTTTCATTACTTCGAAAAGAAACCCCACAGCCCTTAACCATCACCCATCAATCCCACATATCCCCAGTCCTGGACAACCACTAATCCACTTTATTTCTTTAGATTTGCCTATTCTGGACATTTCACGTAAATGTCTGGAGAAATGCACTCAGTAAGTATGAGTGTGGTATTATCTGATTGTGAGTGTGTGTGTAAGAGAGCAAGAAGGTAAAGAGCAAGTTGTGAATAACACACTGAGTGGGGGAAAATGGGAAGAAATTAAAGATTACTTTGTCCCGCAGAGTTGGGTGAGTGTAGCTGTGGCTAATTTGTAGCAGGTTGGGGTTCTGGTCCCACCCTGTCTGTGGGGGTAAGAGCCAGTCCCATACTGACCTTGGGCATGTGAAGTTTGCCTTCAATAGTTGTGGGGGTACAGCAGCCTGACTTCTGGCCTGACTTCTGTTTTGTTTTTTTTCGTTTGTTTTTTTATCCTCACCCAAGGACATTTTTCCATTTTTTGTTCAGGTAGAGTGGGAGGGAGAGAGAGGAACAGAGAGAGAGAGAGAAACATTGATGTGAAAGGAACACATCGAGTGGCTGCCACCCGCACAACCGACCAGGGCCGG